CGGCCCCGGAAGTGCCCCCAACAGGAGACTGCCCTCGGGGTCGGAGGCCGCATGGCCGAACGTGGACCGGAGCCGCATGGCTGCGCGGGGACCCCTCCCCCCGGTCCTGGTCACCGGAAGCCCCGGGCGGCCACATGGTGGGCGGGAGCCGGCAATCCCCAGCGCGGGGAGGTCTGGTCCTCGCGGGCTTATGAGGGATCCAGGAATTGGAGGAGTGGGAGAAGCTCAAGGCCCGGGTCGTGATCACCCCGAGAGCCAGCTGCGGGCGTATGTTAGCGCTCCTCCACTTGATGAGTCCCTGGAGCGTCCCCCCCCAGTCCTCCTGTGAAATGAGGCGGCCACTTCACAGTGTAAGTGGCATTCTGCCGAGCAGGGAGGCCGGAGAAACGGGGAGGCCGAGGGCGATTGGACAGGAGCCCAGCTCTTCCCTCGGCCCGTGCCGACAGCGCCGTGGAGTCCCGGGCTGTTGCGTTCCCTCGCCGTGATAAGCTCTTCACCTTGTCACCGTCTTCCCCGTTGTCTGGTTTGAGAGTTCTTCGGTTTTAGAGTCCTTAACTTTACCAGCCTAGTATGGTTTCTACTACTCACTACTACAGGCGTTTGCTTTAATTTTATTGTCATTCACCACCCCCCACTCTCCCACTTTCCACTGAGTGTTCAGGCCCGGCCTGAAAAGCCGACAGGACCGGTGCATCCTGGGAAAAGTGGGAGGGCCCTGGAGGAGAGGCTGGGTTCCTGGGTTCTCTTTAGGAACCGTGATCGAGGTGTTTGGCAGGGGGGATTATTTGGGAACAGCTTTACTTTCTCCACGTTGGCTGCATCTGCAAGTGCACGTGGAGAGGCGGGAATCCCCCAAAGAGGCCTTGTGGTTTCCTGTACCAGTGACTGGCTTGCGCGTTGGTAGGGGTTGGGGGGTGTAACAGAGCCGGGTGGGGCCTTGCCCTCGGTCTCCACCCTCCCCCCCCATTAGCCCCACCCTTTTGCTGGCTCATAGCTGTTCACCTAATTATAGCCCTGGCTATGTGTGGGGAAAAGGGGTGGTTGGTTTCAGTGGCGAGCAACACCTGAGTCCTCCCTCTCCCAGGAAGTAGGCCTCTCCTCATCTCTGAGATTTGGCATCCCAACTCCCTGGCGCTTTCCTTTCCCAAGGCACTACTTTAGCTTTCGTTTGGGGGGGAGGATCAAGCATTGATGTCTTAAACACACACCAATTCTTAAGTATATTTGAGCCTAGTTAGTATTTAGTCCAGGAACTTTATTTTAGGTGGGCAATAGAAAAGGGGGTTGGAAAAATGAAGTAATGTTTGGTTCCAGAGAGGGATGAGATGGGTTGGAGGTTCTGTTAGCCTCCATCCTTACTGACCCTAGTTCTTTTCTTGGCCCTAGTTGGAATCAAAGCCTCTTAAAATGGCAGATGATTTGGACTTCGAGACAGGAGATGCAGGGGCCTCAGCCACCTTCCCAATGCAGTGCTCAGCATTACGTAAGAATGGCTTTGTGGTGCTCAAAGGCCGGCCATGTAAGATCGTCGAGATGTCTACTTCGAAGACTGGCAAGCACGGCCACGCCAAGGTTAGAATTTCAGCTCACACTTCCTCTCGCCTCCTACATCCATGGGGCCCCAGGCAGTAAACTGCCATTAGTCCTGGCCCTCTCCCTTCTTTGGGTTCTTCTGTTTTGTTCCTTTTGTTCAGCATTTAGCCCTTCTACCCATTCAGACTACTACACCTGCTCCTAGTCTTCAGCTGCTTCTGTGGTTCCCCTTTTGTGCCCCCGTCATTCTCTGGTAACTCTTGATCATTTTGCCAGTCTCTTTATGGTCCTGTATGCTTTGGTTGTTCAGCTCCTGCTTCCTAATTCTTGGCTTTCACTTTTTCCTTTTCCTTTGAGCCTTTTTGTACATGCTGTTTCCATCGGTTTGCCAAGGGTTTCTCCATCCCTAACAGGGAATGCAGGCTTCCCCAGGAGAGGCTGTCACTTTCAAATCACTTTGGTGCCTCATTCCCAGTTCTTGTTTTCCTTTTGGAACTGATACAGTATCAACTGCCTCTACCTGCCCCTGCCAACTCTGCTTGTCCTTGAGCTTTGCTTCTTTCTTGAATCTTAACATTCTTGCTAGTGCTCACTTACTACCTCAGACTCTCCTGTCTTTCTCAACAATTTGACCTGATTCGTCTGTGTTGAGTTTCTTGGGGGTTTGTTCCCTGTTTTATCCATCTTCTGTTGATTTCGCATTGATCCTGGGTTGCCCAGTAATACCCAGAACTTTCTTGGGAGCTCTTCTTGTTTCCTAATTACATAATCTTTTTGGTCTCCCAGGTCCTTTCCCCTCCCCCCTTTTTTGCTTTCTTTAATATTCCTGTTTCTCAGCCTTTTCCCTTCACCCTTCCTGATCTCCCAAGTTTTCAATCCTTTATTCTATAGTCCCTGAAACTTCCAGACTTTTACCTAGGCTCCTCCCACTCCCTTAGGCTTTTAGCATCTTGTTCTTCAGTGGTTTTTGGTTTTTGTTTTTGACAACTTAAGGTAACCCATTTCTCCAGGTCTGTCCTACAGTTTTCCTTTGTGCTGCCAACCCCAATCTCAATGTGGTCTTTTAGTCTCAGGTTTAAAGAAGAGAGTCCTTAAGTGTTTCTTTCATGAGTTGATTGGTTCAGTTCTAGCTCCCTTAATGTTTGCCTTGACAATATAAATAGTCTGACATCCCTCACCAGCCAGGGACAACTTGAGACTCCCTCTCATCCATCCTAGAATTTGGTTGGGTTTCTCTTTGATGCATACATACAGGTCCACTTGGTTGGTATTGACATCTTTACTGGGAAGAAATATGAAGATATTTGCCCGTCAACTCATAATATGGATGTCCCCAACATCAAAAGGAATGACTTCCAGGTATGTAAATGGTCTGGATGAGGATGGGTTAGTGGTTTGTAGGGGGGAAATACCAGTTAACTAGAAGAGCTTATGCAGAGAGAGGAGGGAAATAGCAGGAGCAGGGGGTACTGGGTATTAAAATTTGCTGTCACCTCAGTTTGTCATATACCCTTTACCCTGAACCTACCTGGGCCTATCTTCAGCTTCCTTCCCTATCTGTCCCCAGCTGATTGGCATCCAGGATGGGTACCTATCACTGCTCCAGGACAGTGGGGAGGTGCGAGAGGACCTTCGTCTGCCCGAGGGTGACCTCGGCAAGGAGATTGAGCAGAAGTATGACTGTGGAGAAGAGATCCTGGTATGACCCCCGTTCCCCAACCCCTGCTTTTATGCTCAGCTCTGCTCTTCCTGAGCTCGGGCATCTGATTGTTCCTCTTGCTCCTCCAGATCACGGTGCTGTCTGCCATGACAGAGGAGGCAGCTGTTGCAATCAAGGCCATGGCAAAATAACTGGCTCCCAGGCAAGTAAGACAGACTCCACTGTTATGTTACACACTTACCAAGAGCTGCTCTAGTCTTAATTGCTCCAGCCTACTCCCTACCCCAGCCTGATCTTGTCCTCTGCACCTTCCTGTTGAAGGATAAGCCTGTCTTACCTGGTTTCTCTCTTCTACCCAGGGTGGCAGCGGTGGCAGCAGCGATCCTCGAGCCTGCAGAGGCCCCCACCCCCGGCATGGCCTGGCTCTGGCCTGGCCTTTGGCTGGACTCCATGCAATTTATTTGACGTTTTATTTTGGTTTCCCCCGCCCCTTCAATCTGTCGGGGAGCCCCTGCCCTTCACCCAGCTGCCTTGGCCAGGAGCAAGTGAGCCATGGCCTTGGTGAAGCTGCCCTCGTCTCCTCCCCTCGCACTACAGCCCTGGGGGGAGAGGGGTGGGTGCTGCTTGTGGTTTAGGTTTTTTGTTGTTTTTTGTTTTGTTTTTTTCCCCTTCTTTTAGTCTGGAATCAGAAAGCTGTGGATTCTGGCAAATGGTCCTTGTGTCCTTCCCCCATTCATCCCTGATCTGGTCCCCATTCCCTGTAGCCCTTTACCCCAAGCACCACCCCACAGACTGGGGACCAGCCCCCTCCCCTGCCTGTGTCTCTCCCCAAACCCCTTTAGATGGGGAGGGAAGAGGAGGAGAGGGGAGGGGACCTGCCCCCTCCTCAGGCATCTGGGAGGGCCCTGCCCCCATGGGCTTCACCTTATCCTGCGGGCTCTCTCCCCGACACATTTGTTAAAATCAAACCTGAATAAAACTACAAGTTTAATATGAAGCCCCCAACTCTGCTGCTTATTTGAGCTAAATGGTCATTTGCTGACTGAAAGGTGTATGCGGGAGCCAGAAGCAGAGCGAACCAGCCTTGTAATTCACTTGAATTTGTTGTGGATCTGCCAGCCACCCCTACCCTCCAGTCTTGGCTTACTCCTGGACAGCTGGGTGGGAGGCAACACAAAAAGCAGCAGCCGGGCAGTGGCAGGTAGATTTTATTGGCCTGGGACACACGAGGGGAGCAACCCTTCCCCATGGTGGGGTAAGGGGTGAAGTCCATATGATCTGATGGTCACTTGTGGTAGAATCGTGGGTTCTGGCTGTGTTGGATGAAAGGGAGCCGAGGGCCGGGTTGGCTGGTGGCTGCAAAGCCTGACTGGTGGTGATGAAAGGAGGCCTCAGTCAGTTGGCACACTCCCTTCCACATACATCACACCCTTACTGATGATCACCCCAAGGATATGGGCCAGCTGGCCTGACTAATCCTGTTAACCTGGTAAGAGTAGGGGTTCTGACAGGTCCATGTGGCTGCCGTCCTTACCTTTCCTGCTGGTTGCATCTGCACTGGGAGCTGGGGGGATGTAAGAAGTCCAGGGGCTGGATGCAGAGCCTGAGGGTGCATAGGACGCAGGGAGGACTGCAAAGAGCAGAGTCAGGGCCTGAGGCATACTGGGGTTCCCCTTAGCATAGCCGTGCCCTGACCTCCCAAAGCTCCATACTCACTGAGTCGGAGAATCCAGTCTGCTGGTTGGCATGTTCCATCTGCTTTTGCAAGGATAAGGCACCACCAGGCTGGAGGAACCCTAAGTGGGGAAGAGGCAGGGCATGTGAAGTAGGTAGAGAATGAGAGGAAGGACCGAAGAACCCAGGGCTCCTGCATGGGGTGCAATCACCTGTCTGGGTGGGCTGAAAGTGGCTGTGCACGGCATAGGGCTGTGGCTGAGGCTGAGATAGGTACTGCACTGCAGGAAACGCTGAAGGTGCTGCAGAAGGAGCAACAGCCATTAGACCTTTTACTGACATTTCCTCAGCTTCCAGGAAAATACTCTTACTCACCTCTGAGCTGCTGACTAGGACTGTAGGCCGGCTGGGTGGGCCCATAGTGAGGTGGAGGCTGAGCAGTCCCGTAAGCACCACCTGGGCTGCCTTGGAATTGTCCGTGTTCTGGGGTCCCTGCGAAAGCAGCTGCTG